CCCCAAAACCCCAAAACCCCAAAACCCCAAAACCCCAACTTAGACTGCAGAGTAAAGTACTGATAACTGAAGTACCTCTTTCTTCTTACCTATTATAACCCCATTGTTAAATAAAGTTGGTGAAGGGAGAAATATGAAATTATGGGCTGTTCTAAAAGATTAGAGGGTAATTTAAGGGATTTAATATATAAGAGTAGAGAGAATTTTAGGTAGATTCATTGAAATTTTTTGAGAGTACTGATCATTAGAAGTCTGTTTGGGTTTTTAAAGGAAGATATGGAGGAATATGAGAGAATGTGCTTGGAAATTTTAGGTAGAATTTTCAAAACTTCTTATTTGGACTTTCTGGAAGTCATAGAGGGTTTTAAGCCTCTTTATTTAGCATGGAGCGTTGGATCCTCGAACTCCACTATTTTTCTAAAGTTTTACATTTGTTTTAATATTACACTTTTAATTCTGAAATTAGTATTGGAGTTTAAGGAAGAGTTTAGGCTAAATACTCTTACTTTTTCAAAATACGGTCTCGCTAGGAGCTTACTCAGCCTTAAAGCAGAGTTTGCACTTGTACGAGCTATAGGTTAGTGGATAAGTACCTGTTTCGTTTATCATGTTTTTTAGTTTGTTATTTGTACTCCTTGATGTTATTTCCTTCTGGTTTCCGAGAGATAGATACGAGATCTTCTAGCAGCAGCCTCACTTTGTTGGATCTGGGTCTTTAGCATCTTCTCCTCGATACTTGAAAGGAAACTATTGGTCTTCTTCTTTTGTGAGGGCACTTCGGTAATCTAGATTTTAGAGGGAGATTTACATTTAACAAATGTTCATTGGAAATCTTCTTGAAATTTTGATTTTTGTGGATGTTATTTATTCCCATTTTTCTGAGCTTGTTCGGCATAGTTGACTTAGTATCAAAGAAACTATTAATCCTTCGATGAATCCTTGGTTCTGTAGAGAAGTTTTCACGTCTTCTTCGTTGAGAATTTGATGAATACACAGAAAACTTTTGCCGAGAATCTGCGAGAGTGTCTGCTCTAGATGACTCAAGATGGATACTTTTGTGAATAATCTTTTTATTTTGGGCGAAGAAGCTTTAAATTTTCTTTAAACCATGAGACAATTTCATCAAGATTTCAACTACGATTTTCTTCTAGTCTGGGACCTCTAGCTCTAAGGATGATCTCGGTTGCTTGGAGCCTTGAGATATCAACACCCATTACGGATGCTATTTGGATTATTTCCTTTCTACCGATCATTTCTTGGGCATGAGGGATGTTTATAGCTATCATTGCCTCATTTATCATCCTTTTAATATGATGTTCAGAATCAGGCAAGATATTATGATTTCGCTTCTCATCCTTCTTTGTTTTATCCCTTCGTTTCTTTAGTTTTTTAATAAAATCACGGGTAATTTTGAACTTCTTGAAGTGGCTCAGAGCTTTCGAAGATGCAGGCTTCGGCTTGCTCCTGGCTTTAAGGAGTTTTTCCATTATAAATTTAATTTCAATTTTTAAGAAACTATTGGGGTTTTGGGGTTTTGGGGTTTTGGGGTTTTGGGG